GAAGCTCATTTGGGACCTCAAGGCCGTCTTGGAGACCTCTTGGCCCGTCTTGGGGCCATCGTGGGCGTCTTGGAGCGGTCGTTTGGCGTCTCGGAGCCTTCGTGAGCCGTCTTGGAAGCCTCTTGGGGGCTTCGTGGCCCGTCTTGAGGCCCTCTTGGGCCAGGAAAAGCCCCGTGGATCGCTCGTCCCGGCCCCCTCCCCCCCTCCAAATCGGCCCTCTTGGGCCGTTTTGGTGACCTCTTGGGCCGTCTCTGGGCCGTCTGGAGGCCGTCTTGGGGGACTCTTGGGCCATCTTGTGGCTATCTTTGGGGCCTCTTTGCCTGTTTTGGAGCGTCGGGAAGCCGGAAAGGCGGAAAAGCAAAAAACATCGAAAAACACTTTGGAAAATCAGCAATTTTAGACTCTTTGGGCCCTCTTGGGAAGCTCATTTGGGACCTCAAGGCTGTCTTGGAGACCTCTTGGCCCGTCTTGGGGCCATCGTGGGCGTCTTGGAGCGGTCGTTTGGCGTCTCGGAGCCTTCGTGGGCCGTCTTGGAGGCCTCTTGGGGGCTTCGTGGCCCGTCTTGAGGCCCTCTTGGGCCAGGAAAAGCCTCGTGGATCGCTCGTCCCGGACCCCTCCCCACCTCCAAATCGGCTCTCTTGGGCCGTCTTGGGGACCTCTTGGGCCGTCTTGGGGCCGTCTTGGGCTGTCTGGAGGCCGTCTTGGGGGACTCTTGGGCCATCTTGGGGCTATCTTTGGGGCCTCTTCGCGCGTCTTGGAGCGTCGGGAAGCCGGAAAGGCGGAACAGGAAAAAACATCGAAAAACACACTGGAAAATCAGCAATGTTAGACTCTTTGGGCCTTCTTGGGAAGCTCATTTGGAACCTCAAGGCCGTCTTGGAGACCTCTTGGCCCGTCTTGGGGCCATCGTGGGCGTCTTGGAGCGGTCGTTTGGCGTCTCGGAGCCTTCGTGGGCCGTCTTGGAAGCCTCTTGGGGGCTTCGTGGCCCGTCTTGAGGCCCTCTTGGGCCAGGAAAAGCTCCGTGGATCGCTCGTCCCGGACCCCCCCCCCTCCAAATCGGCCCTCTTGGGCCGTCTTGGGGACCTCTTGGGCCGTCTTGGGGCCGTCTTGGGCCGTCTGGAGGCCGTCTTGGGGGAGTCTTGGGCCATCTTGGGGCTATCTTTGGGGCCTCTTCGCGCGTCTTGGAGCGTCGGGAAGCCGGAAAGGCGGAAAAGCAAAAAACATCGAAAAACACTCTGGAAAATCAGCAATTTTAGACTCTTTGGGCCTTCTTGGGAAGCTCATTTGGGACCTCAAGGCCGTCTTGGAGACCTCTTGGACCGTCTTGGGGCCATCGTGGGCGTCTTGGAGCGGTCGTTTGGCGTCTCGGAGCCTTCGTGGGCCGTCTTGGAAGCCTCTTGGGGGCTTCGTGGCCCGTCTTGAGGCCCTCTTGGGCCAGGAAAAGCCCCGTGGATCGCTCGTCCCGGACCCCCCCCCCCTTCAAATCGGCCCTCTTGGGCCGTCTTGGGGACCTTTGGGCCGTCTTGGGGCCGTCTTGGGCCGTCTGGAGGCCATCTTGGGGGACTCTTGGGCCATCTTGGGGCTATCTTTGGGGCCTCGTCGCGCGTCTTGGAGCGTCGGGAAGCCGGAAAGGCGGAACAGGAAAAAACATCGAAAAACACTCTGGAAAATCAGCAATTTTAGACTCTTTGGGCCCTCTTGGGAAGCTCATTTGGGACCTCAAGCCGTCTTGGAGACCTCTTGGCCCGTCTTGGGGCCATCGTGGGCGTCTTGGAGCGGTCGTTTGGCGTCTCGGAGCCTTCGTGGGCCGTCTTGGAAGCCTCTTGGGGGCTTCGTGGCCCGTCTTGAGGCCCTCTTGGGCCAGGAAAAGCCCCGTGGATCGCTCGTCCCGGACCCCCCCCCCCCCTCCAAATCGACCGGACCAGGCTCCCGGGGGAGGGGTTTGGGGAGGGGGAAGCATCTCACACGCCGATGATCCCCAAGGGGTCGGCGGATTTATGATACCCGTGTGCGACAGACACCACCTTGGTCTATCAAATAGGATGGTCAAGTATTGTGAAGATTGTGTCGAGCCGTGATGACGAGAATAGCGGTGCGAAGGAGGTTCGATGATCCAATTCGCAAGGCCACCTACGCCCGTTGGGCTGGCTGGATCTCGCTACCCCGAGCCATTCCGAGACGGCGCCGGCGCGAATCGAAGGCATTCGGGGGCGACTCTTTCAGTATGTTCCCTGCCCCCCCCTCCCCCCTTCGGCCGCACGCGTGCCGCCAGCCACGATGCGCTGCCCCCCCCCTCTCCTGCCTGGCCCGTCCTTTCTCTGGTGAAGCCGAGAAATACAGTGGGGGACCATGCCAAGAAACACCCTGCTCGCCTCCACTGTGCCTTGTTTTTCTGTTTTTTGAAGGTTTTGTCACGGAAAGCCGGAAAGCGCGACGTTCGGACCAATCCATGGACGTCCTGGGGTCTCAGAGGGGTTTCGCGTGGAATGTTTCTTGTGGACTGGCCTCCATTGTACCTATTCCGGTCACGACGGATGTTTCTTCAATGTTCTAGATATACGGAATTTGATCGGACTTCCAAGAGGTTGTGCCGTTTGCTGTTCTTGTAAACTCGCGGTGTCCGTCTGTTATCAGGAGGGGGAAGAAGCACACAGACCCAATTAATCGTCGACTCCCAAGAGAATATGGGAAAACTATGAGAAGTGGGGGGAAGACGAAAACCCAGAAAATATTGGAAAATACTGGGAATCCTGGGCTTTGTGTCTATTTATCTGCGTGTCCCTGGGCCCCTTCATTTTTTCCGTTCCTCCAGGTGAGCCCCGTCCTGCACTACGGTTTCCAGGGCCAGGGCTGGCATGATGCTGCCTTCGTCGGGGCCAGCGGTGAGCCGGGCTGGTGGCGGGTCTCCGTGCCGGCGACGGGCAGCCAGATGGAGTTCGTGCCGAGGGCGGAGGACTCGTCTTCGGAGGTTCAAAGATAGTGTCCTGAGGGATTGGGGCCTAAGGATAGGGATGGATCCAAGGGCGGATTTACTCGAAGACGAAAACGCCATAAACATGAGTGTTTGGCGCTCCGCGCGGATTTCTTGGATCAGCGCATGGGCCCCCCAGGCGGCGCCTCTGGCGCCGCCCTCGGCGCGCTCAGTGCGCCAGGGAGGGGGGTCCAGCGCAGATCCAAGAAGTCCGCGCGGAGCGCCACGAGTTTCTGTTTATGCCGCCTTTTCTTCTTCCATGTGGAATGGGGACCTAAGGATCGGAGGGGATCCAAGGGTGGCTTTACGTTGCTTGAGGCACCTCGTCCTGGGGCCCCTGTGCCTGAGGACCCCATCGTTGAACCACCGACATCTGGCTGGGACAACCCTGCTGGCGGCGGCAACTACAGCCTGGTGCTGCCCGCTGGCTCAGGGCCCGTCGTGGCCGTACTGTGCCAGGGCCAGACTTCCATCTTGACGATCCTGAGAACGCGTGTTGGTCCAAGGTTTGAGGCTGGCAGTTCCCTCCACGGGGGCAATTCGACCAATAATCATCTAACAATAGTCTGGTGACGGTCTGTCGTGTTCTTGTGACTATGTTGGATCATGTTTTGACTGCTGTTTACCTTTCTTCCAAGCTCCGCCTGTAGGAGGACATGCCCGACCTTACCCAAGGCGTGTTTACCGCGTTCAGCTCCACCGACAGCGCACAGCCTGTGTCGGCCCTCGTTAACTACGTTGCCTGCGTCGCATCGAAAGGCATCGGTGGACAAGCACACGTCGTGAGGATCATCCACCATCGTGAATCTGGATCGCCCTCCGTGGGCACTGGTTGCCGACATGGACGGCACACTGATTGGAGAGCCCCTCGACACCGTGGAGCGGTTGAGGCTCTTCTGGAACCTGCACTGCCGCTTCGCTGTCCGTGCCAGCGATGGTATCAGGCTGTGCCAGCTGGTGTACAACAGCGGCAGGAATCGGGCAGTGCTAATCGAAGGGGAAAAACGCCATAAGCAGAATATGTTTTGGCGCTCCGCGTGGATTTCTTGGACCCGCACTGGGCCCCCCGAGGCGGCGCTTCCGGCGCCGCCCCTGGCACGCTCCGCGCGCCATGGAGGGGGTCCAGCACATTTCACTTCTTCTTCTAGCTGGGGAGCGCCACCACTCGGGTGGTCACCTGTTCCTCCTGGAGCTTGAGGTTCCAAAAGCAAAGCTCGAGCAGGCTGCTGGCAGCTCGGGGTCGTCTTGGAAGGCTGACTGTGGAGTGTTCTTCGGGCGCTCACGTCCAGGAACAAATACAGTGGGATCCATGCCAAGAAACACCCTGCTTGCCTCCAGGGTGCCCTGGATTCCTTGGGTTTCGAGGGTTTCGCTATGGAAGGCGTGACGTTCCCACACCACAATCCATGGACGTCCTGGGGTCTCAGGGTTTGGTTTCTTGTGGAAGCTGCCTTGTGGACTGGCCTCCACTGTAGCGCTTCCTCGAAGAAGTGACGATCCCCCCCCTTTGTGGTGACCCTCCCTGGCACTGTGCCGCAAGGAATAGGATGGACATGCTCTCGGGGTGCCGCGGCAACAACCTTCCCAGGCAGGACCCATTGTGATCATTGTAATCGTTCTCTGATTCATTGTTTTACCGATCGGCGCGGGCCCTCGCTCCCCCCCCCGCACCCCCTGGAGTAGATCTTGGCTGTTTTGGGCGCCTCTTTCAAACAGATGGAGTCTCTCCCTCATAGGACGCACTGCTGCAAATAGTCGCACTAAGCAGAGGTCCGAAGCCAGACCCCCCCCTTCCTCACCCCTTCCGCCCAATGTCGAAACGCCGAATGAGAAAACGTTCGGTTTCCGATGAGATCGGTCCGATTCGATTCCGTGTTGGTTGGGCTCGACCAGGTTCGATTCCGATTCGGCCCGATGCCGGGACGGCACAGTGGTCCATTTTAGTGCAGCCCATCCGGTTCAATGTCGATTCCGTGCCGATGCAGCCCGATCCGACGCACATTCCGTTGTCATCTTATTTCCCGATTCGATGCTGATTGGTTTTGCCAGGCCCGACTTCATGGTATGCGGCGTGGGCACCGAGATTTACATCCCATGCGCGCAGCCCGACGGGGACCAGACTCCGTGGTACGACTTGCCGCGGCTGCCCGAGCCAGAGCCAGACTGGGCGGCGAAGATGTCCAAGGAGTTCGGCGACAGGGACAAGCTGAGGGACGAGGTGCAGTCCAGATTCCCGTCCTTGGAGGCCAGGGCGTCGTCGTCGTCCGTCACGCGAGGGGCAGGGCACATCGAATGGGAGCAGTTTGGGCCTGCACACTGCGCGGGGAGCCGCAGGCGTGGGCTGATATGGAGGGACATACCTGGACCAGCAATAAGAAATGGAGTGAAAGGGCGCGTGTTCGAAGGAAGTGTGGGGTACTCGCTGGTGGCCAGCGGAACAGGAGGAGCTGTTCCGCACCTCCCTCCTGGCCGCCGTGAAGAGTGCACCCATACCCATCATGAGCTTCAGGGAGGTGCCCCGTGTCGGCGATGTCCCTCCGTCGTCTTGCCAACCCGCGCATCGGCAAGCTCACTCTGAGCGCGAAGCGCCGACATCGCAGTCGGGAGGCCCGCGTTGAAAGCCCAGCCAGCAGCAAGGGTGTGCGGTCGGACCGAGGTATAAGATAGAGGTTGCTTCGGGGAGGGTACCCTAGCGCTTTTCGTGTCTGGTGGGCGTTGTTGTGCATCCTGGGGCGGGCACCCTTGGATGTTCTGTGTGTCTTGGCCGGCGAAGGGTCCCATGTTCTAAGCATGTCCTTCTGTCCTAGTAGGTCCGGCCGTGCATGTCACCACCCACCAAACCACCCCATCCCAACCCGAAGGCCCCGATGTGCTCTCCATCCTCATTGTGTGGGGCGGGGGGGGGCGTCGGGAACATTGAAAAAGCGCACATTGCAGCAGACCACCCCCCAACCCGAGATTTGGGCCTTCGGGTTGGATTGGGGTGGCCTGGTAGGCAACCAGTTAGCAGGGGCAATCGCCAGGACGGAAAAAGCACACAGGCACAATGAATCGTCGATTCCCCACAAACTCGGGGAAAACATCCGAGACACGTGGAAAACCACCGGGGAATCCTGGGATCTGTGTGCATATAGTTGTGTGTGTGTGTGTGTCCACATGCCCCTCGCAACCGGAGCTGCAGTGGCGTGGTCTCTGGCCCGAGTAGGGGCCGACGCCTGGCGGGCGGCGCGAACGCAGGGGTCCTCCTCCTGCTCGTGCTCCTCCCCCTCCTCCCCCTCCTCCTGCTGCTCCTCCTCCTGCTGCTCCTCCTCCTGCGCTCAACCTGAGGCGCCACAGAGTCTATGACGCTCCAGCCGTGAAGAGCGTGGAAAGGCCGCACCTTACAACCGTCGTTAGCCACGCTGATCGGACAAGGCCCACAGTGGGCACGACCTCGGCGGTGGCAGACACCGCCCGAGGAACCAGAAAGGACCCATAGGGCCCGCGACCGAGGACCGAACGCGGGCAGCTAGGGTGCGCGGCCAGGACGGCAACGCACGAAAGAAAGAGACGCTCAGAGTCGCGTCTGCGAATCGCCGCGCGCAAGGCGGCGCAGAACCTTCTTGCCGTGGTCCGTCGCGTGTGGGGGACACGGCTGGCCGAGAGAGAGAGAGAGAAAGCACTCTCGCAGCAGCAAAATTTGCACACTGGTTGCAGCCCACAACGACGGGACCGTCGTGGAGCGAGATACGGACTAGGGCATGCCTGCGAGATCCTGCTCCGAGCTGCAGCTGTGCAGCTATCACTCGCGAAACGATGTCGGAGGGAGCAGGCTCTCGAACAAGACTGAGCTGCGTCTGGGGAGGCTTGCCTTTGAAGTGTTTATGCGGGTTCCCGCAGTCGGACACATCCTCACCAAGCCGACCAATGTAAACGCCCCACGTTTCGACAACCTTAGGCCTCGCCTGCAGCTGTTGCCTGTGGATGCTGGGCAGGCGCGCAGCTTCGGGAGTTCTCCGAGCGGCGAGGTCAGCCTGCTGATTCCCAGATCGGTGTCTGGCTGGAGCTCTGCCAGCCAGCGCGTCATCTACTTTGGAGTGCGCTTCGATCTTCTGCAGATCTAGTGCTCCCCATTCATCGAAGAGCCGCCAACATTCGCGCCACAGATGGGCGTGAGAGGCGACACAAGACGTGGTGGCCACACGGCCACGCTCATGGTAGCCATTATGAACGCACAGCGAAACAGTGAAAACACGAATATAGGTGGCGTGGCGTAGCGAAGCGTGTGAGAGACAGCAAGCAACCCGGCGGCACCAATGCACTGAATGCGGTTTCGAGGCGGGCCCAAACACGCTTGCAGCAACAACGTCGCGGTCAGGGTCGAGAGCTGCGCACCCCCACCCAGCAGAGGCCAGGGAGGCAAAGTTAGCTTCAAAGACAGAGCCGTCGACAAAGACATCTCCAGAAAAAAGGCTGGGATCGCCGCACCCCCAGGTAGCTTCTACCCCTAGCGGCGGGCGAACAAGAGCAGGCATCGGAACCAGGCACCTCTCAGCGAAAATCGCAGGGAGTGGCGAGCCTGATGCAGCGTGTGCAACGCGCACCCGAAAAGGGAGGAGGGCTTGCTAACTCCTCCAGCCTAGAGCAGCAACGGTGCCGGTGAAGAAGCGTGCCCTCCTGACCAGGGCAAAGCAGGCAGTGATGCTGAGTTGGATATTCCGCGACCCACTGCCGTTTCTGAGGCCACTGTCCCCCGACAGTAGTAGGTCTGAGGTACGCTCACTGCACGGCTGGCATACCATACCTAAGCAATGATTTGAGTGGCTACACCAGGCTTCCACGGTCAAACTCTGGCTTTCCTAGGTGCGCAGCAACCTTCTGGTACTGCCAAACTTCATAGCACGAAACAGCAGGAGCTTCACGCAGAGGGGGCAGAAGTCGTTGGGGTTGACGTCGGCGCTGCTGCTCCTCCTTCTCCTCCTCCTCCTTCTCCTCCTCCTCCTCCTTCTTCTCCTCCTCCTCCTCCTCCTCCTCCTCCTCCTCCCCCCCCCCCTCCCCCTCTTCCCCCCCTCCCCCCTCCTCCCTCCTCTCTCCTCCCCGTCCTCCTCCAGCTCCTCGTGTTCTTCCTGCTTCCCCTCCTCCTCCTCCTCCTCCTCCTCCTCCTCCTCCTCCTCCTCCTCCTCCTCTTCCTCTTCCTTCTCCTCTTCCTCCTCCTCCTCCTCCTCCTCCTCCTCCTCCTCCTCCTCCTCCTCCTCCTCCTCCTCCTCCTCCTCCTCCTCCTCCTCCTCCTCCTCCTCCTCCTCCTCTCCTCCTCCTCCTCCTCCTCCTCCTCCTCTCCTCCTCCTCCTCCTCCTCCTCCTCCTCCTCCTCCTCCTCCTCCTCCTCCTCCTCCTCTCCTCCTCCTCCTCCTCCTCCTCCTCTCCTCCTCCTCCTCCTCCTCGTCCTCGTCCTCCTCCTCCTCCTCCTCCTCCTCCTCCTCCTCCTCCTCCTTCGTTCCATCGTTCCATGATGAATCCTGGTCGATCAGAGACCCTACCAGGAAAAGAAAGAGAAAGAGAGAGCGCCCGCCTGCGTCAGGTTCTCGCTGTACCTTCCTTGAGGGAAAGGAGTAACCTGGAAGAGGGGGCGCGAACAAACTTGGGAAGAGGAGCAGCATGGAGGGGCCAAGGTTCAGATATCGTCTGTCCTGAACTCCCAGGGATGGCCCCTTTCCAAAGCTTCTTCAGATCTTTCAAGGAACTAGGGGAGGGCCTGCAAGGCCCACACAGATGGCGGGCCCTGGCACTCCCCATGTGGCCACATCGGCCACAAAACAAAAGTGGAATCCCTGACCTCCGATTGACAGCACACCACAAAGAATGCGGGTAGCTCGACTGGCCTGCCTGTGTCTCCAGTTCCTGCAGGGTCGGGGGAAATTCGAAACACTTTGAATTAGCTAGCACTCTGGCTCCAGTCCTGTGGCATTGGCAGCACCTCCACCCCACGCCATCCCAAGATGGGGCATGGGGCCGCGGGAGGGCGGGGAAGGCTCTGGCCCTCAAGGGCCGATCCAAGGCGCCATAGAGGTCCTTGAGTGGGGGCCACTGCACAAGGATCTGGAGCATATTAAAAGGCCACCTGCTTCAGTAGTTTGCGAGCAGAAGTGAAACTCTCAAAGTCATCCTTGCTCATATTATTGTTTCGTGCAGCTTCTTTCGCTGCATGGTCTGCTAAACAATTCCCACGAATATGGCAAAGGTCCTGGCTGTCAACTGCCAGCGCTTCATCTCTATGAGCTTTGACCTTGACGCACACATATGTGGGCTTGCCTGAAATTCTCCAGTAGCCTGCATGGGGGCCAGTATGTCTTTTCGCCTGCTCGTGATTACTGGCCCCCCAGACCACTGCAAGACAGTCTGTGTGAAGTACGGTCGCCAGGGAGGTTACAATCAGGGGAGGGGCTGCGGTTGCTGAGTCCTCGGCTGGCTCCAAAAACCTCTCGAACATGCAGGCCGCATGGTGCTCAGCCGAGGACGCTGATTGGGGCACCCCATCGGGAACGGGTCCAGAGATCCCACGGACAAGGTGCCCCGACTCCGAAACTTCAACCACGGCCCAGCCAGCTCTGGCCACCCCTGGAATGGCTCCATCATAACAACTCCCATCGCTGTAAAAGCGACCCGATCTAGAAAACCGAAACTCATCGCAACGCCCATCTGGGCCGAAAAAGTGGATGATGGGTTCCTCCATGGGCTTGGCAAGGAGAAGAGGGGAGGGCGTCCACAGCGAGGAGAAGAGGGGATCGGTCGGCCCATGGTGGAGCGCCATCGTTCGAATCTCCTCATCCTGCCCTTCCCGTTCAGCCTCCAGCCAGGGGCATTCCCAGGCGCGATGGAAGATCGAAACAGGTTTATGGCAGTGTGGGCACAACCCATTGGCAGTGTACCCCCATCTCTGTAGGGTTAGTCCTGCGGGGTACATGCCCGTGAAAACTTGCACAAGCACACGCTTATATTCCTTGGGGAACTTCTTACTAGCCAAAAGCCTGCGCGGGCCCAGGGGCCAAAGCCCTCTCTCGCGGATCTCCAGGGCCCTCGGGTTCGAATTCCCCGAAAGGGCACGCAGGGGGGCTGGCTTAAGAAATTGGCTTCTTAGGTCTGAAATAAAAGCTTTAGCAACCTGAGCAGGCGGCGTCGACGTCAGATGATGATGTTCTCCATTCAGCCCCACGAAGATGTTCGCATTGAGTGCCTCCCAGCCTGCTTCTCGCATCCACAGGTGCATATC